GTCTATATATATTTATAGGATAGGGATGCTTTGTGAACACAGGGTTACCATCGGTTAAGGGTGGCTTTGTAGAAATCATACGTATATCCGCACGCTCTCGTTCCGTGTCCTGCGTCATAGGAAACATAAGCAGATTATATGTATCTCCTGGTTGGGTACGGCGTACAGGTTCGGTACTGGTGTAGGATATCCCGCGCAGCAGGACATATCTGAGCTTGCAAGCTGCAACTTTTCCCATCAGCGCGCTTGCAAGCCCAGAGCTTGTTATGCGAAGCTTGAAGCATGTTACGGCAGATGTCGCATATTGGCTCACCTGACCTATCCCCCATGTGGACAGAAACGGGCGTGACCTCTGATCCTGTAATTTGACACGATCGACATTCTTTTTTCTTCATCCTCCCTTCTCCTCACCGTAATGCATTCTCGATCGGAGACTTTAATAAAGTTTCAAAAGTTTTGAAGTACTTGCAGTTAAATTAGCGAAGCTTTGTGAAATTACGTAAAGGAAGAAAAAAAAATAAGTTGCATCCGGCTCATCAATCAAACTTTGCAAAAATTATTTTCAACGAACGCGACCTGCTATTCACTGACGCGGTTCATCCCTTTTTTCGTTTGAGCAGTATCCACCCCCGCTGTGCGGATAATAGAATTCCCATGTCAGGGTGGGAAAGCTCGAGCTTTGTTTTATCGCTTTGCTGAACGCTGCAAAGAATTTAATTCCCCGCCGGGCTACTTTTCGCCGATGCCAATGAAAACTGCACTGAAATGCATTTCCATGCAGCATCCCTTCAATTTGGTATTATCATCGCAGGATTCTTTGTTTTCTTCTTATCGGCGGATTTGAAATTGATCAGTGTCGTGTCGACTAAATCCAAACGAGGAATGCGAAATTTCCTCATATCTCTCGGTGACTGCCGTTCACGTGTTTGTAATAAAAATTCCTACAATATTGCAGCAGGGGACGAATCGCGATTAGTGAATCGAGGGATAGGTAGAGAATGTTACGCGGGATGAAAATAAAGAGATATCACGAAGCTATGGTGGTTTCCATGAAATCAAGTCTCCTCCGGGATGTACATACCTAAGAGCTTTTTGGCTTCAAGTCGAATTCGCGCGATCCGCTTTATGCGCGAATATCCTCTTTTCCATTTCTGCGATATTCTCTTCCTTCCTCCTCTCTCTCCCCTTCACTTTGCCATTGTGCTCCGTTTAATATCGGTTTTTCTCCTGCCCGTAAAACCCCAAAGTTTCAGTTTCGCTTTCTCGGTATCGTCGCTACTAACAAACAGTTCACATTAGATAAAATTTTCGAGAGGGATGTAGCACCAAAGCACAGCCTAACTTTGTCAGTACTTCTCCTTAAAACCAACCCTGCTTATTACAGGGTAGTTACAAGAATAATGGGCAACCTTATAATCTCCCACTAATACCCCAACCTCGTTGAAACTTTGGAAAACTCGACAGTGTCGCACAGAGCCGTACACAAAATCCTTACTTCGGTACCCGAGTTATAGCGGGACGGGGGGTGGGGTAAACCTTGAACCTTTTTTTTTTGAGAAAGAAAAAAAATTTTATAGGGATTGTTTTTTTCTTTCTTCTCCTTTTATTTGATTTCAGAAAGCTTTACCTATTCGTCCTTATAAAGGAGGTTACTCGATATCCCTAACCGAAGTTATTGCTTCTAGAATTGGAAACCGTGCAAAGAAACGAGAAGCTGTGCAGTGATTTTTTTTTTTTTTTTATCATTATAAAACTCCCTTTCCCTGATATTGAAGCTTTGTTCCATACGAGGTACCAAACCGCGGTAAGTTGAAAGTTTCAAAGTAATTAAAATAAAATGAAAACCCTTTATTCATCAAGAGAAGTTTCTCGGCAGCTCCTTTGCCAGCTGTCTGAATACGGCGAAACTTCACGGGAAAGTGCGAAGTTGATTTGTATTATCAATAATGGTAACCGGTATAGACGGTCTTAAATAATGAAATAGAAAAATTCTGTTTAATGAAAATTTATTAATTTTTCGTCATTCAATCTCGCGAAGGTTGACTCGCATAGTTTTACGAACGAGTTGAACCAGTATTTTTTTTACTTTTTAATTTGGCAACAATAAATACGAAATTCATTACTCGTGTTCGCGGGTAGAAAAAAGTCTATTTGAAATATTCGCCCGGCACTGGTTGCGTGTATTAGAGGAGTAATAACTATTATCGAATATTCAACAGAAAAGTAGCGTCCCATTCTTATGCAGTATGCACAGTACAAGAGAAACACGATAAAAAGCCATACAGCAGTGGCGCAGAATAAAAAAAAAATACATAGCGGGTAAAGAGGAGGTAGGAATAGGAGAAAAAAATAAACACAAAGAAGCGGAATCGCAGCACCTCGACGTAAAAGAGTAGCTCGACGTTCCATTAACAAACGAGCGTGAAGTGGCAGTGCTAGACTTGATGGCAGTGCCGTTCCTACGAGCATTTGAGCCCAGGACCTTTTACTCGAGCCTTTCAAGCCTTTCTTTCGCGTATTCCATGACCCCTCGAATGATCGTCAACTTTTTACTCAACAGTCCGATTATGGGGAACGCTTATCCGTGCGGTCTCGTCGTTAGGAGTCTTTAACGGTATCCAATAGAAAATACGTTAGACGAATCTTCCATGGGATAAATATTATATACATAGAGTGAACTTAAAGAAAATTACTGCAACGAGTCGCAGTTTAGGGCGAAGCCAAATGAAGTTGAAGGTAAATGAAAAATAATGGGTAGGTGGGAAAAATGCTTGTTGATTAAAGGTTGACTTTTTTACGGTTAAGCGTAAGAGAGAGAGAGAGAGAGGGAGATAGATAAAAAAAACATAGACACGTGGGAAGGTCCGTGAAAATTTTGGCATTCAAATGAAATTCCCAGTGGAAAAAGGCGAGCGTGTGTGGTATGCGGCAACGCGTTCTAAATTACGAACGGGTTAGGTTAGGGGTAAGTTGGGGGATGGTGCAGAACGCAGAAGGTTCAGGCAGGGTTGCAGAAGAGGGTGATGCAAGGAGGGGGGACTGGGTCGTGTGTGGGTTGGTGCTGGGGATGGTGAGAAGGATCCGGGAAGAGTGGTAGATCGTTGAGATGAAAAGGGGATGAAAGGGGGATGAAAGTCGAGAAGGCGCCAGCCACGTTCAGACTATCCGAACAATTCGGTCCACTGACTGTGAGAACTCGGATCTCACACTAAGTCCTCCGACTAGGCAACCAACCTGACTCCGAACGCAGCTTCCCTTACGAAATTAAATTCTTGTGAATATAGAAAGAAATAAATAAAAAAAATCTCAGATCGACGTAGGAATGCCATTAAGTTAAACCTGTCGACCATTTCTTTGAAGCCCATATTACCTACTGTACCTGGATATAGGAAAGCAAGAAAATAACTTTTTTTTTGAAAACATTAATTTTTTTTTCAACGACACTTTCAAAATTATCTTAACAAATTATTGTAAACTAAAATTGCATTTTTTGTGTTTTGAAATTTACGGATGCTCCCCCGTGTAACTTACATGCGTTGGTATGTCAAATCAAGTCTGAATGACGTGACAGTCGATGCCTTGGCACTCTGAAGAAATTTTACGCAGGATTCCAGGGTGAAGGGTAGTTTATTGAAAAGGGTTTAAAAAAAAGGGATTTGGATACTCTCAGAAATATTTTTACTTTTTTTCTTTTTATATCCATGGCTTATTACTTATAGTCATGTCCCCTTTTATATTATACGTATTACACATATTGGTCTTTGTATGGGACAAACGAAGAATCTCATTTCCCTGATGGTCCTTGACCTAATATACACAGCAAATAACAAGGGACTCTGTGAAGAGATATTTACTTAGCATCAGGGTCTATTGCGTCTCGTCTATCGTGAAGTCCATTCGTCATGGACGCGATGAACGTGGATACGATTTTCCTTTGATTTCCGTCAGTTCAAAATTTTTTTAAAAAATATAATTGCAATTTCGTCTTTTATGATTTTGCGTAATGTTTCTTGAATCACCAAGAAATGCTCACTAATGATCTAACCCCTGAACAAATTTAGTGTTTCGGGATGACGATGACGTCACTTAATCTCAATGCGACGAAATCGTTGAAAATTTCAAAGTTTGACAAACGGGTTCCACGCGGTGACAAGAAAGATTTGACGCCAATTGAATCCGTTACTTAATACAGGACATTGAAGTCCTTCGAAGAAATACCGATCGAAAGTAAATGTAGGATTAAAAAAAATATCTAGCATATTAAATTATCCTTCGTAATATCGCGGATTAATTCAATTCCCCCTACGATATCGTCGACATTGAAATTAAGAATTTATTAAATTAATACGACAAAAATGGTTTTTAAATAATTTTAATATTATTGTATATATGTAAAACAATTTATTCGTTTCATATAATATTATCAGCTACCATCCTTATAATAAATTGTACTTCTACTCTTATCATAGCAAGCAGCTTCTTGCATATACACGACTTTATTATATTCCCTATCTAATTTCCAAAATCTTTACCGCCATCTATCAGCTAATGCGGAAACTCAGTTGCAATGTATAGCATAAGGTCTCTCTCATGATTGTCCCTTAGGAGGTCTAGGATTACTCGCCTAATCCATTCCAAACCGTACCATGTGTTCGTTTAAGCCCATTGTCTTGCGGCAACCAGATCCGCCCATATTCCCTATGGGATCCCAAAGTCATTTTCTCCGACCATTTCAGCGGAAGCACATAAGAAAGGATTCGGAAGAATTGCCGGACGCGTCGCGACGCTTGCCCGTCGAACCCATAAGCGATCCTGTCGACTCATTTTCCGCTGCCTTGATTTACATCGAAGTTTCTGTAAAAAAAAAAGTGAAGATAATTTTTTTTATTACTTTCCTTATTCCACCCCTCTACTCCCCCCCCCCTCATCGTCTTGTCACTTTATAACGGTACTCAAGCTTAGCAGATATTAATCGTCGACGCTTCTGCTTTCTGTTTCAGTGTAAAAACCGACATGGGCGCGGAAGGTGCGGTCTCGAGATTGTATATCGCGAACGCTAACAAAAAGGATAGCGGAAACTACAGCTGCGCTCTGGCGGATGTCGCTGCAACTACTGTCTCCGTTCACGTGCTGAATGGTGAGTAATTTTTTCATTTTGTTAATCGAGCAGAGTTTTGGCTATCGCAATATTCCGTATTTAAGAGATTTAAGGAAAAATTGGCATTTTGGGTTAAATTTGAATTTTTGAAAAATTTACGTCCGGATACGATCGTACAGCTGCACTTATATTAGAAATGTCGATACGTTGTGGGTTTATAGGAAAAAAATATTATTTATGAAAGAGCACTGGTAGATTTGAGGGGACGTACCAGACGTAATAAAAATAAGTGGGAGTTATATAATATATATATGTTGTGACGTCAATTTCGCGATCGAGCCTCGTCGGGAGATGAGAGACTGACCGGCGCACAACTTACGCGATTCCTTCGCGTTCCAGGCAACCCAGGGCTAACACATACAATTCGAAATAATACTCTGGTATTGTTGGGCGCCAGGTTCCAAAACGGGTACTACGTATCAACTTGTACGGTTTGTCTTCGCGTACCTACGTTGGCTAACTCAGCTACGCGGAGGCGGCTGGGATCTTCGAGAGTAAGGAGAATTTCAGAAAAATGAATACTCCGGCTTTTTGGGTAAACAATAAAAAAAATCGATCGTTTATTTTGCCCCAATTTCGGACGCGACCACGCCGATATAACAGAACCGAAATTTAAAAATTTCGAAATAAATAATGGACCCAATCAGATCGCGACTAAAACAACAACGAAGGACCATATCAATTTCAGCTTAAGTCCTAATCCGAATTTCTACGTACGAAGTTCGCGATCTATTCCGCGCAGTCTAACTCTTACAGTTCGCTAAAATACAATCGTACAATCCGATAAAATTCGATACTTCTAACAGGCAAGAAATACGTTCGTACGATTCGATACAGTTCGACATTTCGACAATTCAATCTTCAATAAATACTTTCGGACAATTCGCTAACGGTTCAATTACAGACAATCTCAATCCTTGAGTCAATTCAACGATATAACGCGATTAATCGCGACACTTCGAAAACACGACCTCAAGGACTATTCCGGGTCTCTCGGCAACACGTCCCTAACGTGAACGCGATACAATAAGATTCGGAGATCTAACACTCAATATTGCCGAGAGAACTTATCATTCAAACACCTTCATTCGACTCGATTGTCAAACGCGTGATAAATATGTCCACGATGGGCAGCATATTTACGCGAACACAGTGCCTTGCCGGCCGGCGGAATCTCGTAGTCAGAACGAACGCGGTTCTACGAGTGGGAACATCTCCCACGTGCCTATAGGCACAATTCAACGACAAACGTACAAAACGCGGGGTGTTACGAGATTTCGTCGCTCACGTCACTCAGCCTTTCGTCCTCGTTCCTCCCACGCTGATGATCCCTCGCTGGTTCTTCTTGAGATTCGGTAAGCCCGCGAATACAATATTCGCGGCATGGGACATAGCAAAAATCAAAACAACGAAATCAGTAATCAACAAATTCCCAACTTCGTTAGCCCTTGAGGTGGTGGCTTCTTCCCTGGATTCTTTTTCTAATTCGCGTTTTCCCGCGTATCACTACAGTTCCCGCCGAGGACCCGACGGGGTAAAACCTACCACGTCACAATATATATATTTGTGGCTATAGCATACTTTGGAGACGATTTTTTTTACGAACACGCTTATTCAGGGTCTTATGGCTATTTCGGGGTCCGACCTCAAAGTTTTTCCAGCGTAATGACTGTTCCGAGGCCCATAAAGGTGACTCTCACACCGAATTTGTTTATATTTTTTTTATTGTTAATAAAACTGTTTATATTGTTAGGTTAGGTTAGCTTTCGTTAGGTTAGTTTAGTTTAGAATTCCAATGCTGTCACACCCCAAGATTCTAGTTTTTTTTTTTTAAAAAAACATTAGCTTGCAGGTTTGACCCCTTAATGTTTCGGGTCCCAAAGTATCCCGTGGACATATTTATATATATATAAAGAACTGTCTCATATCGATAAAGGTGTTTATAGGGCGAGCCTTTGGTAAGCTAAGGGTTTGGGAAGCCTTCCATTCTTCCTTTGCCAATATAATTTTCCACCCTTTTGCTCAGCCGGTAATTGATTCACTCCTCCTGTTCAATGGTTGCTATCTATTATGGTTTCTTGCCTGGTGAATCGGAAGAACTAAGTGGGGGGGG